TCTGGATACAATGTTTGTCGAACTTTTTCGATCTCCTCTGGAAACTGCTCGGAGATTCCGATCCGTGTTCCCTTCAATTTTTTGCGTTATAGCGGATCTTCTCTCGGTCAGGAAAAAGCTGAACTTTGCGACAATTGCTCTTGGCTTCCGTCGGTCGTCGCGTTTCCTGCCAACTCGATGCGCTCGGTCGATTTTGATTTCTCTTCTTGCATCAGCATGTCTAGCTTTTCTTCTAACAAGTTGAAGATTATGTCGGTACAATCTTCTTTTTCGCTTTCTTCAATATTGTGGAATAGTAAGTTATCCCGCATCGATCGCGCTTTGAGGTCGATGACACTTCTTGAAGCCGCCGGTTAGAATTTCTAAGATTTTGATCTTTATTTCTTTTTCGTCTTCAGCCTCTTTCCTTTCCTTCATTTCTTTCTTGAGGTCGTCTAGTTCTGCATGAGCAAATTTGATCGACTCTTTTAAACTTTTGACATCTTGCTCGACGGATAAAATTCGGTCTTTGATCAGGTCAAGGGTCTTCAATTTCTTCATTACAGTCTGCATCATACTACAGAGCTCGTCAATTCTATCCATTTCTTCTTCTTTCAAACCTTTTTACTTTTAGGTGTCAATTGTTGTGTTTCTTTAGTTATTTTCGGCGTATTTTTAGCAGATTTAGCAATTTCACGCGCACTGCGTTTTGAAGCGTGTTGCCTCTTCGACATGATATATGATAACCAACCAAGGATGTTTTACAACCTAAGGAACTTATTAATTATTCTATGATTTATACAGATGCTACAAAAATCACCTCGCATGTTAAATTAATAGATAACTCCTTTTACAAAAGAACAAAGACCACGGGCTACAACATATTGACCATAATTGACTTATTGCCCCCTTATGGAGGACATCCATTTTTTGGACAGATTTTCTTTAAAATTTAGACCCTCCCTTGGCAATTAATCCTTTTTTTAATTTTAGGAAGGGGGTCTATAAATTCCAGTATCCTCCATGGGAGGGAAGTGTTGTTTAAAAATGCAATAAGCCATTGATAATGTGAAGTGAACATGAAACGGAAGATCTAATGCAAAGTCCTGGCGACAATATATCAATTTAACAAAACAACGACAACGTGTGCGATGATTTCATTTAGCCAATTCTTTCATGGTTATCATGGAATAAATACGAAACTTGTACGCCGTCATTTCCACGTCGTTTCATACAGTATACTCATACTGCAGATCGATAAAAATTCATTCATAAATACCATGCCATTTTGTAATTACATACCCAATGTCCCAATACTTGTTCATACACGATTAATATCAGTATCCTTCGATTTACGTTGTTTGATTTCGCATTGATAATTCTCTCTTCGCGTATGTTCACGCGTAATTCTCGCAAAAAACACGCATTAATGTGTCGGCAGCATTGATGATCGCGGCAGCCAATCAAAAAACAATTTCGATTCGATTTCCCCAGAGTCATGCCATTACATAACCCGCGAACAGGCATACTCTGGGAACGAGATTGCCTCGAAGGTTGATATCGAACCGAACTCCAAACGATTATATACGACGCTATATTGAATTGCATTAACTAGCAGAGGCTTCCTTTATTTCGCTCTTGCCATCACTCCTTGCGCGCTCACTTTTCCCTCACTAGAAACTTCATGTAAGCCTCTGCAGAGGAGAGAGATGAGTGGTGGAAATGCTCAAAATTTGAGTTAAAATCCCGCTCGAGACATCGAATTTTATACGTTGTTCCCTGCAATGTTAGAATGTGAAAATATTTTGAATACTTACATCAAGTACTGTTATTTTCTCGTACTGTAGCGATGAATCATGAGTTATGATAACTTCGGGATTATATGAAACCTTGTCTTGATTACTTAGATCAATGACTGCTGTGAGGACTTTTGTTTTGCCTATTGTGATTTCTTTCTTGTCGAGACTAGAAATAGAGATTAGAGAAAACATGTTGAATATATACAGCTATTTCAATAAAGGTTGTCCCCGAGCAAAGCGGAAAAGTCGAATACGAGCGCGAAAGGCTGCTGGGAATCGCTAAAAAATTCATTATTTTTTTAGCGATTCCTAGCCTGCGAACAGGCTCTCAAGGTGAAATGAGAGCCTCTATCGATGGCTAAAGAATTTGAATATCTGCGTCTCAAATCGTGACGCGAAATCCTCATTGATCAGATGCTATAATTTATATGTTGCCGCTGAGCTCTATATATGTCAACTGCTGAAGCACTATGCAGAAAAAACACATTAACTGATCAAATTGGTCTTGGCCATCTTATCTCAAAGCACGAAATGTTCTGTTTTGAGAAAACAGTATTTAAAACATTTAAACTTTTGCTTGAATATCTTATACTTCGAAAAGCAGTATAAACTGTACGGTCTAAATTTATTTTGCACGAAAGTTTTAAACAACACCATATAAGGATAGATTAAAATAGAATAGAATAAAATAGATAGAATAAAATAAGGATAGAATAAAATTTTAAATAAGGATAGAATAAAATTTTACAAAGCCAGCAAGAACAACACAAAACTGAGGCATTTTCATCGTGGAATGTTGTAAACAGACACAATATAACTATAACTCAAACAACTTTAAATCAGACATTTCCACATACTTATATGATCAAATATTCTGTGATACAATGCTTGATCCAAATATTATGTGGGAAAATTGGAAAACAATATTTTTGTCGGTTGCAGATTTTCATGCACCAGAAAGAACAAAAAATAGGTACGCGACGCGTACATGTATCTGCGAAAAAACTTGATTCACATTTTGTATTTTCTTGAAAGGAACTGAATAATGAAGATGACATGGGACAATTGAAATATTTCATCACATATTATAATAGCCAATAAGATTTAAAACAGGGCTGTACACAGCGGGGAGGTCGGCAGAGGCACAGTTAATGATATACCACACTGTTCGGTTTAGCACAGCATATCCACATGCACAAAACAATTTGTGTTGTGGGAGAATATCGGTTTGAGTAGAAGGTATCACAAGTTCAGTTTTGTACATATTGTGTGCCATCCATATAATATATGATTATTGTAGCTGTTAAGTTATTATCCATACGATTGATACTAATGAATTTAGGTAAGATTGTGTTGCAAGTAAGTTGTTCTGACAAAATTATCTAGCCAATATCCAGTACATTTATTCATCATTCTTGCATTAATCTCTAAACAAAAACATTTATGTTAGAAAGCAAAATAACAATGTAATGAGGAGGGAGGGTGGGGATTCTTTTATTAGCATTTGAAAATGTTTGTAAAAATTTTGTTTAATTAATTATTATAAACTCTAATGTGTAAAACCAAAATGTATAAAGTATTTTAACTGATAACATCGAACAAAGTTTAATACAGAAATACAGGACCAGGATTTAATTCAATATCTCCTGAGAACATTAGTTTCCTGCGACATTGTTCATTGACAAATATATTGCCTGCTATGTTTTGACTGTTTAAAATATCACACAACACAATTATTGTTTTACTGTATAAATATATAATAAAATAATAAATATGTGGTATTTGACTACTTACCAGATGAGGATAAGTTTCCATGTTGATAGATAACTTCGGAATAATATCGCAAGTAGAATGGCACGTGAAAACAAGACAAAATCAAGATATTTTTGAAGACAAAAATGTGAAAATGGCAAAGAATAATGAGAATATAAACACGAGGCCAAACGATGCCCGCTCGCAGGTTAGATGCGGGCACGACGTAAACAATTGATGTAAGCTAATCGCTGATTGGCTTATATAATTAAAATTATGTAAGCCCGTCGGTGAATGGCTATGTGCTAACACACGGTACGGTACGTTTGCGATAGCGTATATATCTGCTTCGCAGAAACAAAAAGGTTAGAAGCGAGTACGCGCCATGGTTACAGAAAATATTAAACAAACTATACGTCGAAGAGACTTTTTAAAGAAAAAAGCAGTTAAGACAGGATCAAAACAATTATTCCATGATGCTTATAAACGCACACGAAATGATTTGAATAGATTAATTAAGAATACGAAAGCTGTGATAAAAACCCAAAGAAAATGTGGAAAACAGTTAATAAACTTACAAACAAACAGTCAAAAACCACTCTCATATCTGAATTCCGGAACGATAGTCAAAATTTGACTAAAAAACATGAAATTGCAGATGCTTTAAATTCACATTTCAACGAAGTTGCATCCCGCTTGGTCAAAAACATGCCACAGAGCTCAAGGACGCCTGAGTCATACGTGACTAGGCCCGATACACAATTTACGATACAAAATGTTTCATTAACTAAGGTATATAAGTTGCTCTCTACAATTAAAACATCCAAATCAGCAGGGCATGATAGAATACCCGGTAAACTTCTAAGAGACGCTGCTGAAGTAATAGCACCATCACTAACAGCAATCTTTAACGCATCTATAAACACTGGTATATTTCCTGAAGACTTCAAGATTGCTATTATTTCTCCAATTCATAAAGTTGGAAGCAAAACTAATTGCAATAATTATAGACCAATCTCGGTTCTCGGTTCAGTTGCTAAAATATATGAAAAATTATAGTTACAGAGCAACTAGAAATTTATCTTGAAACTAATCACATACTTGTAGAACAACAAGCGGGATTTAGGAAAAATCACTCTACACAAACTTCTCTACTTAACATGGCAATGGCTAATGAATATGGATAAGGTTTGTTAAATGGAGTGATTTATTTGGATCTCAAGAAAGCGCTTGACTGTGTTGAACATAATATACTGTTAAAAAATGCATTGTTATGGAATAAGAGGTCATACGCTTGCTTGGTTCCAGTCCTATCTTTCTAGCAGGATTCAAATATGCAAGGTAGATCAAACAATGTCCAAAACAAGAACAGTTAAATGTGGAATACCCCAAAGTTCTAATCTTGGGCCACTTCTGTTCTTATTATATATAAACGACCTGCCAAATTGCCTGACCTCATATTCAGCAAGCATGTTTGCCGATGACACAAATATTTCAACCAATGGCCAGACAAATGACGAACTACAAGAACGCATTAACGTGGACTTAGAAAATGTACACCAGTGGTTACTTGCAAACAAACTTACACTTAACAAAGATAAAACTGAATATATGATTATTGGCTCAAGACAACGAATTTCAAACTTAGTAACGGACCCTAAAATTGAACTTGGTGAATCAGTCATGAAACGGGTTCACAAATCAAAAATTTTAAGCGTAATTATTGATGAACATCTTTTATGGAATCATCAAATCCAAAATACTGTCACAAAAGGTTCAAAAGGAATAGGAATCATGCGACGAATAAAACAGTTTGTTCCTAAATCAACCTTAGTAAAACTATACTAGTATACCTATCAGTATAGTAAACGCTGACTTGCTGCTTAATTTGACGATATATCAAAAACGGTCTCATCTTTCCACATTAACAGCCCCAGTTTAAATACAATCTCATAAGCTCCTAACCCATCGTAGCTGTAAGCTCAACACTAACTTAATCGTTGTGACGTCATTATTGTAACTATGAATAAGTCCTTGTTTTTGATCTGAACCGTAATCACAACCCAACCCTAGCTTTATTGTGCGCGAACCATGAGAATCTGACCATAAACTATTTTTTAATTTTTCTTTCCTACCGTTACTCTAATATCTGTGACATCAGAACGACAATATTATGGAAACTTGTACCCATTTTTGGAACGTTTTCACTAGACCACAATATCAACCAATAATTATTTTAAGACTACACAGATTATTCAATGTTTATTATGCATTAAATTGACTCAAAAACGATACACTGCATCAAAGCACGGACTTTAAATGGTTTAAACATAAAAGGCTGGTTCACATATTCCTACTTACACATGCGGTATGTCGGCGGGCTATTTTCGTTATAGCAGTTCAACCAAATTATTCACAAAAGAAAATGTGCATCAACAACTGCTCAGACAGCTTCGCTTGAATATACTTCTTCGCCAAATTGCCTTTCTTTTGATTTTACTGAAACGAAGTCGTTTAAGAACTGAATACCGAACAACATGCGTGGTCATGGAGCAAAACATGCATCCAAGGACGTCAAATTAAAGCCACGTTACTTCGAAAACTACAGGATGTATCAAGAAACCTGCAAACACTATAATTTGCATAATTCTCTGCTTACTAGCATTTCAATGTCGTTGCCACTTATTTTGCTCCTGGGATTTGAAAATACATTCTAATTAACCGCGTTGATAGAAATTAGAATAACACAAAGTTGTTTGTAATGCAGAAAACCAATTATCAGTTCGACTGCGAATGGGTCAACTATTGTGTTTACGCACGCTTGGGATCAATTAGTTCTGAATCATGCAAATTCTAAAAACATTGTTTTAATGCTTGACACATGCCTAACATAACAAAAGCATGATCAATGATAAAAAATTTCAATGCACATGCTTCACTATATACTGACTTGCCCCAAGTTGCGTTGCGCGCATGCTTAAACAATGCACATGCAGAAATTATATTTGTATACATGCAGTATACAGGGTGTATAAAAAAAGGAGACCTTTAGAAATCAAGCATATTGTTAAAATTTGAATGCCTTTTCAATTGCACATATGCTGAACCGTGGTGCGTGAAATATTATGGAGTGCATATGCGATCTACGTACAGTATGCATGGCAGATTGTTCCCAGGAGCATACAATCTTTTGTTTAAACGTTATTTCAATTTCTAAAGGTCTCCTTTTTCTAATATATGCACCCCATCAATATTTCACGCACCACGGTTCAGCATATATGTGCAATTGAAAAGGCATTCAAATTTTAACAATATGCTTGATTTCTAAAGGTCTCCTTTTTTTTGATACACCCTGTAGTGTAGTATGCTTTTTGGCAGCCAAAGTGCATTTAATTAATCCAAGAAATAACACGCAAAGCAACGTTCTTTTAAAACGCCATACTATAGTTATAGTTGGCAGTTGCCGGACTGTTGATGGCATGTCTCCGTGTCAATTACCTTATAGTCAAATCATATATCATATTCAAACAAAAAGTCTACAAACTAAACCCTGTTTAAATTATAGCAAAGTGAAACTGATGGACAACAATCGAGATGAAATTGATTCGTTTTTAATACTTGAAATGAACGATTTCAGACGTGCAAATGCAATGTTAATTTTACTGCTAAGTGCTAAATGAAATAAGAAAAGACAAAATAAAATAAGGCGAAGAACACAAACGCAAATTCGCTTTTCTAAGCGTTATAAATTGTTTGTAATAAGCAAATTCAGTTTATAATATAGTCATCGACCGTATATGAGCTGTTCTGCAATCTGATTGGTTGAATTACTCGCCGTATATCAGCTCATATACGGCGAGTAGCGAAAAACAAGATGGCGGTCCAAAACTACATGAGTTTTGCGAAGCAGAAAAAAGGAAAATATTCGCTTTGAGAAAGATAATAGTACAAGGAAAAACTCTCAAAAAAATTTGACAGGTTAGCAAAATACATTTATTACATAGAAATTAGTTTAAATACAAGTTTTTTAAAGAATTAATACCGAAACAACAGCGAAAAAAACATGTTCATTGAGAATATAAATTGTTCAGAAAAGTTTGCAACGAAAGACAAATGAATTTGCAGTCAACAAGCACTTACTATATTCTACCAAACATCTGCATTTATTTATCTGATCTTTTCTGTGAGATATACCGGTTCTAAAACTATTTCTTTCACTTCGTCTTCGAGTTGTAAAACAAAAGTATTTCAAATTTTCAAGGCCAAGCGGTTTTTGGCTGAACAAATTATCAAGACATTGTAACAGAGGATAATTAATTATTGCTTCAGTTAATGGCTATTAGACTATATTATAAAACAATTATACCATTCGCTCTCGTCGTATTTGGCTGATAGCCGACTCGGTGCTACGCACCTCGTCAGCTATTAGCTCATATACGACTCGAGCTCATGGTATAATTGTTAAATATATAGTGTAAAGTCTAAAGATCAGCCAGCCATGCAGAAATCAACAGCCCAAGTGAATGAATACAAAATACACCAAAACAACTGCATCGCTACCGGCTTATAGCTATAAACTGACTAATGAGATTCCCCGGGGTATTTATAGCATCATGCAAGCAAAGCATTCTGGTCGGTTAACAGCAATGCATTCTGGTCGGTTAACAGCAGTGCATTCTGGTCGGAGAAACGTAAGTAAAATCTTACTTTCAGAGCCCAATACGAATTAGAACTGCTGACTTGCTCGCTCGCTTCAGGCTCGCTGCTCGCTGCGTCAGCAATAATGCCATCGTGTTATCGCACTTTGATTATTGTAGCTTGGTTTGGAATAACTGTTGTGATTACCTAAAAAACAGACTTCAGAAATTACAAAACAGAGCGGCCAGAATCATCACTGGTAAAACTTATGAAGTTAGTTCTGAGGAAAGTTAGTTCTAAATAGTACTTAGACTGGCAGCCTTTAAACCAACGTTATAAAACCAATAAATCAATTTTTATGCACAGAATACGAAACGAAAAAATGCCATCATCAATTTCTAACATGTTCAAAATTAGAATAAATGACAGATATGATCTAAGAAGTAACAATAACAACTATGGTCTTGGAAAACCTGAAACAAATTTTATGAAAAAGAGTTTTAGTTATTCAGCTGCCTCCCTTTGGAATGACTTATCAATTACAGCAAAAGAAAAAGGCATTATAGCCTCAAAAAATTTAAACGTATTCTTGACGGCACTTGATTCAATTTGGTAACTTTATAATTATTTAAATAGAAATAGGACATATTCAGAAACAAATGTAGTGCATGCAATTATTAAGTTCGTTATGTTTTCTCTGTTTTTGTGTATATATTTGTGTTATTATATTTATAGCTTGTAAATACTTGTAACAAACGGCCACTTGAAAAGCAGGGGCCGGTTGTATAAAAACGTAGTTAGCGCTAACTGCAGTTAAAAAGTAGTTAAAAAATAGTTAACTTTAATCACGTAGTTAAGCCGGTTGTATAAAAGTGTAGTTAGCCTTAACTGCAGTTAAAAAGTAGTTAAAGTTAACTATGCTTTAGGGTATAGTTAACTGTCCAAAACGTAGTTAAAAATGGCGTTTGTATAGGAGTGAACAACATTTTTCAGTAAAACAACAATGAAAAGCAACGGTTACCTGAGATTTTCAATCGCTATCTTCCCTGTGAATGTTTCCTGACAATATAAACTCTTCAAACGCTATCGCTTTGGTGTTTTTACGAAAACAGAACATATTTTTGCACAGGACGATTTCTCGAAGACGAAGTATGGTCCATTACACCAAGAAACACTGATATATAATTGCCAAACAGCTATACCTTGGTTTAACATAGGCATCTCAAGCCGGAAAACTGCATTCTTTTATGATTTTTGTGGCGGTTTTTCCTTGTTTTCTTGTATATTTTTCACTGTTTTCTAGTGTTTTGAATAAAATTCCCGCCTATTTGCAAAATACGAGTCCACAATCATGTTGAAAATGTGTGTCAGCAGTCGTTATTCGCTGCTTACTTTATGTAATTTTGTGTTTAAACGCCCCACGCAAGCCCCACGCACAGTTAACTACGTGATTAGTTAACTATCCGACTAACTACGTTTTGTGCAACACAGTTAAGTCATGTAGTTAACTAATTACAGTTAAGGAATTAACTACATTTAGCGTTAATTACGTTTTTATACAACCGGCCCCAGGTGCCTACGAGCCCTGAAGAGCTACCGTTTTAAACTATTTTTAAATAATAATAATAATAAAATAATAATTTGGAAAAATGAACGTTACGGGGCAGATATTCAATTTCATTAGTCATCGATGCAGGCTCTCATTTCACCTTGAGAGCCTGTCCGCAGGCTAAGCGATTCCCAGCAGCCTTTCGCGCTCGTATTCGACTTTTCTGCTTTGCTCGGGGACAACCTTAATTGAAATAGCTGTATATATAAAGTTGCCGACGTTGGAACAGGTTGAAAGTCTTCGAGCGAATATGCTGATCTCTTTGAAGTGTTTCTTTTTCGAGTAGTTCAGGCCTGTGATAGAATACTGACACGACACTGCGTGGAGCCCAAAATATAGTGCATATCATGTACAAGCGGATAATGTCATATCTTGTAGCGAAATATGCCAACAAGCTGTCAATAAGTTGTGTTCGCTATAGACTGATAGCCAAAAACTGGTAGAAATATATAAATGTTTAAGTCCGTTCAATTAATAAACTATGGAACAACTTGTAACAACCTTGTCGATATTATCAGACTTGTTGCAAGGTTGTTCCAACAAATCTGATAAACAATATGATATAACAATATTGTTACAAGATTGT